CTAATACGTGCAAGACACCAGAGGAGGCGGCGTACGCATATGATGAATATCTCAAGAAAAATTACCCACTTAAGTATGCAAAATTTGCCAATTTTTGTGGTAAATGCGGCAAGTTTGTGAACCCTCTCGGGTTGCCACAGTTTCAATGCGAGTGCAAGTGCTTGGCATCTCATGCAGAAAATCTATCACCCGATAACCTAACTATATCGCCAAAGAAAGATAATCTTTTCACTCCGCAGATTTCGACGCCCACAACCTCAACTCCATCACTCATTCCTCCAACAGCACCGTCTCCCGCAGCTGGACCATGTTCCGCATCTATGCATGGATCTTCTAACATGTTAGGGTCTTCCATTCGAAGCCTGGACCTATCTTCTAATTTTATTAGCGAGGAGAATGCATTCATCTCAAGTCATCGCTCCAGCAGTATGTCAATTGGATCGCTTCAGTTTAGCTTTTCCGAGGATACAGAGCATTTTTTTGCAGAGTCTTTTGACGATGTGGCCAAAATGGCTACAGATTTGGATACTTCTGCTTCGGTGGGACTTCAGCAACAGAGAGACTTAAAGCGAGATAATCTACCGATTGCAATTATTACTTCGGCTGTTGACTCATTTACACAAGAAGGCAATTTGGACGATATCATAAAGGACATTAAACGCACATCATCCTCTCATTCGTTAATAAAGCGAAACACAGAAGAGATGCGCACAGGTCGTGGCAGTTTTGGTAGCTACGTTGTCACTGGAAGCAGCAGCAGCAACATTGCGATGGGTAATACAAATAGCACGGCTCAAATCCAGGTCGAACCTTCCGGGACAAACTCATTAGACTTCGACATGAATGAGCTGGATGAGTTAACAAATTACTTCTTGTGGGACAACGACGTCGCAATGTTTGATCATCGAGAAACTCAGACGAAGTCAACTATTATGAATCAGAGAGTCGCTATGGCGGGGCAAAATTCTCAGCTCACAAAAATGCACAGTCTTGACTTTGACGCTGAAGTTTCAATTTGTGAAAGCTCGACTCGCAGCAAGATCGTCGTAGGCGAGGTTAAATTTGAAGACACTGTACCAATAAGCTCGTTCGTAGCGAATCCTGTGACTGCTATGTCTTTTTCATGCCCGCACTACCCCACTGTGATCGACATCCAAACGAAATTTCTCGATAAGTACTGGCGCAATGATCGCAAGAATATTCAGTGCTTTCCGCGTTGCCCGGAGCACGGTGACTACTATCGTGTGCGTATTGAGAACCTTCAGCACCGGTGCAAGGGTGTCTGTCGAGCTCCTGTGAGAGCTCATGTGTGTATTCCAGCACCCGTAAGCGCATCTGTAACGCAGCATGGTTTGCTGGTATTAGCGCGCTGTAACAGTACCTTTTCCCGAAATTCAAATTCAACAGAACAACAGCTACTGAGTCTACCTGAGATAAAAGCACTGCGCGCTGTGAGTGCCGTAGGAACCGTCGACAATTTCACTTTAGACACAGAAGGTGTGAATTTTGACGTGATATTTCATCCAGATGTTTGGAAGTTTGAATTCGATTTACCAAAGAAACGTCGATACGTGCAAAACTCAAACTCAAATGTTCCACTTTATGGTGCAGATAGAGATATTGATGGGGATTTAGCATCAGCGGAGTTTCTCTATTTTTTTGAAATAGACGTATTTTACTCGTCTGATCAAACACATTTTGAGCGCTTGGGCCACATGAAATCAAAAAGTTTTCAAATTGGCAACACACGCACACTTTTGCGGCGACGTAATAAACTGGTTGGAGAGAATCACATCATTGGGGGGTCATACGCAACCGACAGCGACCAGCTAGCCGATGTCGATGAACTTCCTGAGAAGAAGAGGATCAAAGTGGCCAAAAGCCGCCACGAGATTGTGTCAGGCAAATCGTTTAGTGAGGATGGTTTCGGAAGTAGTGGGCTGACAGGAAGTCGAGTTTCGACTGCTAATAATGCCGGCGAAGATATTTTTTCGTCTCCTAAGCGAGATTTCCCGGATGAAAAATCCACCATTCTGAATGTCGATCGGTTAAGTAAATTTGACTTTCAAGACGTCGTCAACTGGAAAAAGGATCTGTCAGAATTTTCTCAGGTGAAGGTCAATTTCTGGGAGGATGGAAATATCGAAGATGCTGTTGCTTCAAATTACTTCCCGTTCATCTCGCCTAAACAGAACAGTGGCAATGTGCTTGCCATATACTCCCCAGTGTTTGCGGCTCTCCCTATGAAGGCCCAATCAAACGACCAGCCCGTAACTTCGGGATCTCGTGTCATGGAGAAAGCGCCCAGTTTGGCAAAGTTTATGGTCTACTCTCTCGTTTGTGTACCCCTTTCTATGCTCTTATTGCCAGTCGGCTTGATCCTGTTGATCGGATTTTTAATTTTTCCTCCAGCCGCTTCAAAAATTGTCAGCACACTGGATGCAATGTCAGACTTGGAGCTCTCTCGTGCTAATATTAGCTGCACATCTGAAGATCACCGCATGGTTCTGAATCGGCTTATTGAGCATAAGGACGAACACGCGGGAAATTTAATGACTGTCATGTTCCGCTATCACACCAAAGGCAAAGTGTGGGGTCGAATCTTTTATTTCAGCGGGGCAAAATTTGTATTCTCTATTATCTCGATCATCCCAGCATTTTTTTTAACATCAATGGCGGGTCTGCTCTATCCGATTCGCCCAGTCTCTTCTGCTTTGGCAAAATCTGCGTGCGGCTTTGCTCTTTGGTCGAGAGAGTACACGCGCGAAACAATGGGAAAACCCTTGGCACGTGTCGACGAAGTGGATGCAGTTGTGTGATTTCAAGGACTGAAGTCACCCTTAATTTTGAGTGCGGTCTGCGGTCTGCGGTCTGTAATTTAAATTGGAGGTACTACTGATACCAAAACCTTCTCTAATAATTTATATCCTGGTTCGCGAAGATGATGTTGCGACAATGTCATCGAATATCATAATGAATATTCTGAATGCAAACTAACAACAATGAGTCAATAAGAATGTTTGTTCATATCTTAAGGCGACTATAAGGCTAGAGCAACGAAGACTCCAAGAATGACTGTTTGCATCACGTTTAATGGACCAGCAAGCATAGATTTTCACAATGGTCAGTAAATATAAAACATGATTTAAATTCTGATACAAGATTGAACACTATGTGGGCGCATCTTCATTCTGTGATGTGTAAAGTCTTCTCGCCCTCAGGAGTTTTTCGAAAACATACATTGAGTTTATCGAGCTTGGAAGGTTTAGACTGTGTTGGCTCCATCTACTTGGAGCGAAATTCTTCGCCACCTGTGACCATGTCGAATTGGCTGGCGAAGTCGTCAATCGACATTTTGCTCGAGTCGTCTTCCTCGTCATCGAATACCCAAGTCGTGCCCGGAACATACTTCGAGCCCTCAGCTTCAGAGCCAGGAGGGCCCTTTATTCCTTTCGCGTAAAGCGGCCCTGCGCTGTTACAGCAGAACACAAGGTACAATCAGCCCACTTTCGCTGGGTAAGTATATTAGTGTCCTTACCCAGGTAGTGCATCTGCTATACCGGCCGTCATACAACTCTCACCAATGTCTTCAATGTTGTTTAACAAGTTCCGCGCCAAATAGGTAGTATCACCAGCTTTTTTAAAAAAACTATGCTTCAGCAAAGCCGAGGTGCCGGGACTACATCGCATACAAGCAAGAACGGTTCTCTTCACATACCATGTTAACATGTAAAAAATGAACACAAAGTCACCGCTTCGACGGGTCTTTCTGCAAGCAAAGCTTCACAACATCTCTAAAGTGACGACCAAAAGGATGACCGCAGCCATCATCCTATTAGTGCATCGAACACGTCAGTATTGTATTAATTCGCCAAGTTCCCTTTATGACGTACATCATACGTGCGCAAAGATGGTGGGTCCTCCTGAAGGGTAAGCAGCAGCACCTTCATAGGCTGAAAACGTGCATAAGGTGCGTATCCCTTAGCAAGCTCCAGCGCAGTGATACCTAGGGACCAAATGTCGGCCTTGTAATCGTAGCCGCGCACCTGCTCCATGACCTCGGGGGCCATCCAACAAGGAGTTCCGACAAAAGTCTGTCGATTTTTCCGACGGTCCCCACCTTCCATCATCCAGCCAGAGACGCCAAAGTCGGCAATTACGACGTGGCCCTCACTGTCGAGCAGGATGTTGCCCGCTTTGATGTCCCGATGGATCTGGCCATTTTCGTGAAAGTATAGCAGCCCTTTGAGCGTTTCGTGTAATATTACAGCCACGAATTCCTCCTTGAGCCCTTCACCCAAACCCTTCTTTTTCAGCAGATTCATGACGTGCAAACATGAGCCTTTGTTCATGAGTTGCGTCACTAGCCAAAGCTGATCCTTGTGGACAAAGCTGCAGTAACACTTAAGCACATTTGAATGATTGGTCATCTTCATCGTTTGTACTTCGGCCCGAATATCCTCAAAGCTGGTCGTGATCTTTTCAAGGTCCATAATTTTGATGGCCACGTGGATCTTCTTTGGCGCGCAGTACGCCTTCCATACTTTAGCAAATGCACCCTGACCAATCTGCTCAATGATCTGATAATCACTCGCTATAGTAGGCCACTCGTCCGCCATTCTGACAGTAACGTAGAAGGAAATAAAAACAAGTGGTGGATGCTGTTCTGCTACTTGCCGCAAGGGCGGAGGTTTCGACCTGGAGAGTTTGGGTCAATACTGAGACCACATTCTCCACCAAGCGACTGGTGTGGTGCACAAAAAAACACTACCATCAGGTGGACCACAACAACCGCCAAATCTTCCTGTGACAGATGAAAAACATGAACGCGCGCTGAAATGACAATGATACAAGAATCGATAGTGCGGCTAGAATAGCCAATCACACAGTATAATTGCCCAAACTTATTGAGAGCACAAATTAAAGACTTTTGTGCTCTCAAGTTACTCAATAAGCTGGACATGACACCAAACCTTTGGTGTGTACGACTAGCGCTGAATGTACCCATCGATGTGACTGCCCCAATTTATAGTTTTTACATTCTAACATGTGCCTCAGCCGCGATGGGGCGATCTCTGCTACGATACTGTAAAATGGACATTTTGTCGTTTAAATTGATAAAGCATGGTCCACAAGGTTTGTCGAGTTGCTACCTTTCGGACTTTTTGCCAGCGGCTAAGACGGGTGATATTGCCACGTACCCTCATCCACCAGAAAGTGCCCGCACAGTTTCGCCACGCGACGGCTGTGCTGACTCCTGCAGAAAATCTGTACAGTAGACATTTACATAAAAGTATGAATTGAAGGCTTAAAATTAAATTTTGCCACGTACCAAACCGTCGCCCTTCTGTCCTCACTGAGCAAGATGAAAACTCCGACGGGTGTGCGTATGCGAATGGCGCTCAGTCACCGGCGCAACCTCCACTATGCGTTGCTAGCTGCGTTTGGCGCCCTTCTGCTGGTTGTGTTCCTGCTCACAAGGACGCCTGCGCCCTATAAGTACGACAAGCTATCTGACGAGGAGGATAAGCGCTTTAATACAAAGGTCATCATGGATCAGTGGCAGGGCAAATGTCAGATCAAGAACTTTGAACAGCTGCGCCGTATGTCCATCGTCTACACATGGGTCAATGGCAGCCAGCCTTGTTATCGCCAGATTCGCGAGAAGGCTGGTGGCAAAAAGGCGGTGGGTGGATCTCGTGACCGAGAGATCGGCGAGCTTAAGTATTCAATTCGTTCATTAGAAAAGTACGTGACATGGCACACGGGCCAGATCTACATTGTGACTCCTGGTCACATTCCGGAATGGCTTGACATGAACAATCCACGCATTAAGGTTATCAACCAGGACAATCTTTTTCCAGACTATGCCAAGGAGTTCCTGCCTACATTTAATACGCACGTCATTGAGCAGTTTTTGTACTTAATTCCAGGCCTTTCCGACATCTTCATGCAGATAAATGACGATTACATGTTTACTAAGCCGATCGCTCCTCACGAGTTCTTCACCTGTGATGGTGGTATCCGGCTGTTGCATGAAGGTGGAAAGATTTCTCACACGCCGCCACCTAAGAAGAAAGGAATATGGATTTCTTCAGTATTAAACACGCAACAGGAAATGGATTTACGGTGGGGCAAAAAAGATCGCCACTTCATTAAACATGCGCCGTTTGTTTACTCACGTCGCGCATTTGAGCGAGTTCACCAAATATTTGACCGCCCTCTGTACATGACGCTCAAAAGCAAATTTCGTAGTAAGCCAGATATGAACAACCCGCTGCTTCATCATTATTATATGCTAGCCCAGGGAAGCGAAGAGCTTGGGATTCCCGTTTATTCCCCGCCCGAAGACGAAATGTCCGGATACAAGCTTATTTTGATGAAGAACGATAACATTGACAAGCTGAAGCAGATATTCGGCCAAATTCTTGACGGCTCCTCACCTTATAGCATTATCGCACTGAACGATGAGTATTCGGACATGCGTGTGGCTGACACGGCGCGCGAGTTTCTCTCCAAATTCCTGCCTGAGCCAAGCAAGTTTGAGCGCAAACCTGATTCCAAGGCCAGCCCGCTTACCGTGCGCAAACCTGACACTTGCGAGGTTGATCCAATGATTTTGCCGTCTCTTCCGCGGCGAGTAGAGGATGCACCTAAATATCAGGTGATTGCGTACCGAGAAGTTCGTTGGGTGGCATTTACCAATTCTCTTTTGCGTGGTTTTGGTTTTGGCCTGGGCGCAATTATTATGTACATCGTGTACTTGGTGACGTTGCGCCGCAAGAAAGCGTTAATGGGCTGTGATGGGGCCTACGATAAGGTATGATCGATTGGAATAATTACTGCATGCAGCCTTTCTTTGAGCCGAGAAAATGTCATCTCTGGTGTTATCAGGTAACATGGAGAGCCTAAGATAGGGTTAGTATGTGCATCCGGCCTAATGTGCACGGATCTGAAGAATAGACGTGATACATATTCCTTTACGTTTTTAAGAATAGTTTATACTGTAGTAACATTTGGACGCACGCATTACTAATAAATTTTGTAGTCATTAGCGTCCGGCGGCATCGCACTTATGTTTGTTTAGACATATGTAGACCAAGGGTGCGCTTGGTGGTAAATCGAAAAATGTAGACAGATATGATGACGGCGACTGACAAGCCTAAGACGAAGCCAATGTTCGAGGCCAGGATCCACCCGAACGACGGCATCATCTCGGCAAAAGCGCGTTCGCTATGAGAGCGAAAGTGAACCACTGCTGGAGAAGGCGCCCATCTTGATGCATCATGGTTGGGCTCGGGCAACGGAATCACATCGGGGTCAAACAAACAATTCGGACCGTGCCAGTTGCTCACTATACTCAGATGTTGGCCTTCAGGAAGCTCAAAAATGGTGGGGTCTGGCAGCAATTGAGCGTAGAAACGGCCAACGAGCTCAGCAGTCTTTGGGCTAGAGTACTCGTCGTTTAATGCCAGCAAAATTTCAGGGCCCTGGTTCTCTAACGCAAGCTTGAATTGTTTGTTGAGTGAATCCTCACTTTTGTCTTTCACTCGAACCAGCAGCCAGTCGTTGCACTCACTAAGCGGGTTCAGTTCTACTGGAATTCCAAGCTTTTTCGACCCTTCTTCTTGCATGTAAATATGGTGTAGTAACGGCATGTTAAGATCGTCCGTGTGGCGTGTCTGGTGTGGCAGCATAGCATCTAACTCTTTAGAAAACTTTTTGTGAATTTCTTCAAAAGCCAGTCGACTGTATACAAATGGCGCGTGCTTGAGGAAATTGTAAACGTGTTGTCCGCCGTAAGTTTTGTCAGTAAGCTGAACGGTATTGCGGACACTGGCCAACCAGGCATTGGACTTCTGACTTGGTACGTGGCGAATGTGGTTGATTTCCGTGAGCATTCGTATGCCACCATCGCACGTAAACAATCGATCGGGTGCCACGGGCTTGATGAATAGATAATCGTCGTTCATGTGTATAAAAATATCTGTGAGCCCTGGAATCTTGTGTAAATACTGCTCGATAATGTTGGTGTTGTAGGTCGGAATCGTGGCCTTGTCTTTGGGCAAAAGGTCATCTTGGTCTACGACTCGTACCCGAGGGTTGGACATATCTAACCAATCCGGGATCTGGCCTGGCGTGACGATGTAGATCGGGCCTTCGAGCCACGGCGCAAACTTGAGAAGCGAACGCAGCGAGTACTTGAGCTCACCCATCTCTTTATCTCGTGAGGTTCCACCATGCGGAAGACCCGCACGCTCTCGGCGTTTGTTGTAGCAACTCTCAGTGCCATTCACCCATGTATAAACGATTGCAGCGCGGCGAAGCAATTCAAGATTCGCCACGTCGCAGCGCGAGTCGTCTCTTGAAGGGAGTCCACTAAGAAGCTCTGCCAGGCGCGCCGGTGGATCTGGCCCCTGCCCCATGTAGAGCAGCGTTGCTACAGTCAACGCGAAGCCCAGGAGAGCCAGTAGACTTTGCATGACGATTAAGAGAGTTCAATGTTCGTGCAACAGTTCTGTAGACAGCACTTTTAGAAAATTTAGAAGGCGTATGTCAAATATTGTAGTATCTGTATTATATAATCTATCATGGTGTAAGCAAGCACACATTACATTGTTGGGAACCAAAAAGTAGCGTGTACTCGGTTCGGATAAGAGTTCATAAGAAAAAGAGGTCCGTGAGAAATGTTGGTTGCTAGTCTCACGCCGTGCATTGAATAGGTTTAGTATCAGGGCCTCTTATCCTTCACCGGCTCTGGCATCATGTAGCTTTTACAAACCGCCTACCAGATATGCGCTTTGCGGCCGATTTTATCTGTTATATCTATCTTGAAACCGCAGATAATGCCCACTTCGCTCTCCAAACTCTGCTTAAGACACTAAGCTATATATTCGCAAGACAATTGTACAAGCCATATCCTACATCGAGCTGTCGTAGCTTTATGCCCTCCTTGATTGCATAAATCCGGTTCATATGGATCCAATCCTTAATCTGTTACAACTCTAGAAGCCCTTGGAGTGTTTTGCATGTTGCTTTAGAAACTATTAACTCATTTCAAATTCGGTTGCGAATTTTCCTGCAAGACCTCAAGTCGTTCTACTTCCCTTCAAGTTGGGACTGTCTTTCTCCCTCCACGTCCGGATCCGCTCCCTCGTCGCGCAAGCGTGTGTGTTGTGCTTGAAGAACTGTTGTGAACAGAGCCCTTTTACATATATAAGGAGTTAGGGCCCACCACCCAGCTTTGCAATTTGTTCAACGCCCCAAGCTGATAGTTCTTATTTACATAGGAGTGTTATTCAATTACGTGCGACACGCCAGTATCTAAAACACAAACACTACTTGGAGTCAATGAGATGTCGAACACGGAAACAGTATCCGTGCGTCTTGCGACGCGGAAACTAGGGAAATTGTCGGAGATTTAAGTCAGCTCTCATTTACAAATTTTAGGACTTAGATGGCGTTGAAATGCTACTTGATTCTGGTCATGAATTCAAGAAAGAATTTAATTATAGAAGTAACGTAGCACGATCGCACAAGTCGCCGATTAACTGGAGGGATTAAATTGGCTGCCTGCTACTTTGCTCTAAATAGTCATTCATCTGCCTGTGCAAGGAATCAGAAGCGCTTCTAGTGATGTACTGAGGTTAAAGCTCAGCTTGAACTTATACAAGATATTGGGTGTACGGAGCACAAGCTTCGAAAACTTAAATTTCAACATTAGTGAAAAGCTTTCAGTGAAAGTGACTGGCTACTGCCATCCAGCTCAAAAGATAGACACGTAGGTCTCGTCACCGGTTCAGTACTCCAAGTAGGAGCTAGCATTCTGTATCACACAGAATGTTCGAAAGTTCATATATATCGTCACATGTGCATGTGAAAACACCATACTGAAATCTCCATTTCTTAATTTCCACAATGCACACATATGGTACACATCTGCCAGAAATCAACGGCTTGCTGGAAGTGAACATTGCACTATGAAGCTTGTTAACTGATATAAGTCTTCCTCAGTAAGTGCATGCATACGGATGGCCAATTCTCGTTACACTCTCTTACTCAGTGAGAGCTATTTTCCGGATCCTATCTGGCCTCAAAGAGCTGATGCTTGATGGTATAAGTAGTCTTACTCTCTCTCACTTTGGCGTGTATTGTGCTCCCATTCAACAGATTGGGGATGCGTACTTAAAAGAGGTCACACCAGCGCTATCACAAATCTGACGAGCGTCTCCAGGAACTCGATTATAGCTTCTAGCCCATTAGCGCCGATTTAGCTATCCCCTCACGACCAATACGAAGCTTGTTTATCGTGTATTGTTGTCCGATGAGAATTTCATGTTTCTTCTACACAATTGATACAATCATAATAAGACTTGGTTGCTATTAAAAAGTATTAATAATTAGGAACGAATTTCGTAACGGGTCATATGGCATACGCAAACGTGACGCTACTCCAAAGTACCTAAGTACTAAAACAGATGAGAAGACGACGTTCCATGCAAAAGAATTCATTGGGACAAGTAGATTAAATCTGTTAATTATTAACCTTTTTGTCATTGATTTAGTTTCAAATAAAAATTGATTCTTACAACTAGTACCCCGTTCTTCATTGCATTTCGTTGTGATTTTGAGCATATTGAAGTCCAGATTTTGTATCAATACCGACTTTGTGCTAGTGCACGGTAATATTGCTGTATGTGTAAGCATTTCTTTTCGTCTAACCAGCGAACAAATTCTTAGAGACGGTATCCATTGTAATAATCGAGAACGAGCTGGTTGATTATTTGTGCCCCAGACCGATGGTTGTGCTAAAAAAGCTCCGTTTCTTACTTGGTTGTGAGATGGATTCCACGGTTTGTGGTTTCAAGCCTGGAATCGATGATAGAATGGCTCAATAGCTTTGAAAATGCGCTATAAATATTATCAAGAGAACCTCAACCGGGTGTCGGTTGAAAAGGCGTCTGGCTTTGTAACGAGGTTATACATACCCTGGTATGGAGTAAGCGCATTGCGATTCGCTACATTCGTACTGGCTCTAAGTATAGAACGAAGATCACCGAGCTTAGCTTATCTTCCTTCAAGCGAAAGAGCTCCGGCAGCCCCGCTGCGCTTGGTAGCACTTGTATTCATTCTACATCTGAGTCGTTTCGACTGATCCTCTGTGAGGATTAAACAGTTCTCCTATTTGCCCCAAGGCATACAGGACGAGCTTTTTAAGCTGATGTCTCTGCTTGACCCTGAGGGCGTCAACACCTTGCTTCACAAGGACTTGAAGCGATCAGCGCGCGCATGGAGCGTTTTCGAGCTGTGAAAATGCTCTAATAGAGCACCTACAGAAGATGCCGGCGTCGACTATGTTCATGACGCCACTTTCGACGACAGATGACTTCTCCCGACCCACGCTGCTCGTGGTGTGTGTTAAGACCTTCGAGGACAAGGATGGAGAGAATCTCCTGCTCTGGGTGAGAGAGGCCGAGATGGCTGTAGCGTCCGCCATGCTTTAGAGTTAGCGACAGCACGTAGCGCTAGCTATCTCCAAGCTTGGTGGTCGAGCACGCGAATGGGCACTGACGTGCGGCACTTCGGGCGAAGCGGCGTTTTCCTCTTGGACGGAGCTGAAGCTGCAGCTTTCACGAGTGTTCTCGCCACCTAACCAGGTATATCGCGTGCGATCGCGTTGTCTTGCCGCTTGACAGGGCAAGAAGGTTTTGATAGATTTTGTCCAAGCGTTGCGTACTATCACTGCCGGTATGGGATCCGAGCCTCTCCCCAAGGCGGTCACAGTGACCGTCTTTACGGAGGGCCTCGGCACTGGTGTGGTCAGAATGGAAGTCTTCCGCGTGCATCCATCTTTTTTTGAAGAAGCAGTGAATGTGGAATTGAATGCCGAATTCAACTTCAAGTCGGCCCGACTTGGGTGGAATGCGCATTCTAGCAGCTCGTCGAGCGGCCTGAGTCGATGGATCTTAGCTATGCTGAGAAAGAGGAAGTAGAGCTCCGAGCTGCCGAGCAGCGTTTGAACACCTGACGGTGAATTAAGCCCGTCACCTTTGGATTGAATGTCCCTTGCGCAAGGCGCGCCAAGGTTCATCGAGCCGACGTCTTGCTTCCACCAGTCCCGTATGTCGTGGAAAAATGGCAACACTCAGAAGAAGAATTGAATTCGATTGAGCCTCGAAGAGGTAGAGATCAGCAGGGCCTAGCCCTGAAGAGCCCCGTGCTTTTGAACACGGAACGTGCATGCAAGCGGGGCATGCTGGTCGTCGAAGCGAGCGTGAAGGGCTCTGAGAAGCCAAGGAAGATCCTGATCGATTTCGGGGCGTCGGGAAATTATGCACGACGTTCCACGATGGTAGGAAGTCGGCCGTATGCTGAGGCGCTGAAAGAGCGGTTGGGTGACATCGTCCCTGTTCGCCGAGCGACAGGGACACGTGTCACGGTCCCGAGGCCTCCTGTCGAACCCGGTGTCAAGTTCCTTGACTGATGCGCTGAAAGCGCGGCTCGTCACTGTTTGCTTAGCGACAGGGACGTGTTTGACGGCGCCAAGGGTCCCTGCGAACCTCGGCGTCAAGCTGCTTGGCTTTGATAGCGTGGAACGCTGCTTAGTCCTAGAACTGGATTCAAGGTATGACCTCATCCATGGAATGGCATGGTTGGAACACCGTGAGCCATGGATCGATTGGGGTTCGATGACCTTGGGCACTACGTTCACGTCTCCTGGTGGAGCTCGGAGCTTTGGTGAGCCACGAATCCACTTTGCTAGAAGGCGAAAACGCTTATGACGCGAGCAATGGCTCGGGGATGGTCAACGTGCGGGAGATCAGTTATTCCGAGTTGTAGAGCACCGAAGGTGTATCGGACAGAAGTCCCGATCATGGTCCGCGGGCTGAACGTGGAATGGCACGTAACCCACCGAGCGCTCCTCAAGTATCGGAGCTATCGCTACATGACATGCGTAGCATAGCCGGCAAGGGCCGAGGCATCGAGGGCGAGGTACCATTGATGCACGTGGAGTGGTCGGACGAGGTCCGAGGTATCAAGGGCGAAGCCCCAGTGGTTAACGTGAAGTGGTTGAGCACTGCTCACGTTTCAAAGCAGTCGCTGCATGCCACTCGTGGCATGGTCGAACGAGGCCAGAGGCATTGAGGACAAGCCCTTCGATTTCGCGTAGAGTGGCATGTTATCAACCGGACGAAGACTGCAGAGCTAGCAGCTCTTCGTCGGATGTTGTTAATATCGTCAGAATACTGGTAGAGCAGAGAGTGGGGCTAACACTGGACGACGCTGAGTGCGTGTTCACACTGGTCTCACCGAGACATAGAATCTCTGTGAAGAGGCGAAAGCGACGCCGTATGATAGCTGCAAGACGCCGGTCGTCGACCCTTACCCAGGGTGTGTCTACCGTAGATGATAGCGCACAGCTATTCTCCCTCGTTAGCGTTATCACGGGGGAGAAAGGCGGCGACCTCACCCTCGAGACTATTCTTGCGACGGATGCTCCTCTTGAGCTGGAAGAGGTGTCCTTCGAAGAGCTCGGTGGTACCTTAAAGGCAGGCGACTAAGCCGAAGTGTCATTATACGACCAGAAGAGGAGATCAACTCGTCCTCGCTTCTGAATGAAGCTGTCCTGGGGGACACCAAAAGGGTGCTGAACGCATGAAGTAGATCTTCGATTCTGAAGAATCCCTTGATCCGTACTATTCTATCGTGAAGGAATTTCAAGACGTCGTCTCCAAAAAACCGCCATCGGTCCAACCTATGGACCGAGGTGTGTGTCATGAAATCGACCTGATTCTCGGAACCAGATATTGCGTAACACGCCAATGGCCCCTACCCAAGGGGCAGTATGACGTCATTGCCGGCTTCTTCCGTGCAAAGCACGCCGCAAGAACGGTGCGTGAAAGCAAGTCTACCCAATCGACACCCACATTTTGTGTCTGGAAGCCGAACGGCAAGTGGCGTATCTCTCACGCTTAATAAGCTAAACGCTGCCACCATTCCAGCAAAGACGCCATATCCTTGAAAGGATGTTCTCCAGAACAATATGGCTGTCTGTACAAAGTACTGCGCATTCGACTTAATCGATGGGTATTACCATTTGCTCATAAGAGAGAGTGATTTTCCGCTGACAGGGTGAGTACTCCGAGCGGGATGCTCTGGGAATGGCTGGTGATACCACAAGGGCTGTCGAATGCACCAGCAACATTTCATCGTCTTGTGACGCAAATGTTCAGGCCCCACCAAGCGTATGCACAAACATACTTCGGCGACAGCTTCGTCCACAGTCGCACGGGGCACGATAGGACAGATGTGGAAAAACACATCATCCATTTGACAGCGGTACTTGAGTGCATGCGCACCATTAAGCTGTATGCTAATGCAGGCGCGGAAGAAGTTCCATCTTTAGGATGCTTCATCTGGAAGCGTGGCCTTCGAGCGGATCTCGCTAAGGTCAAGGCCATTGTGAACTGGCCGGTTTCAAAATACCAAAAGGACTTGCGCAAGCGGCTTGGCCTCGCTAACTACTTGCACAGGTACAGCGCGAACTGTGCGGAAATGGCACGGCCATTGTCGAATCTCCTTATGAAGGATGCGGAATTATGTTGGGACACTGAGCATCGGGAGGCTTTAAGACAGCATCCTTCATGCACCAATACTGGCGTTGCCGGACACCCGATCTTCCCTTTAGTGTCGTCTGTGACGCTTCGGACTTTGCCATCGGCTGTACACTGCTGCAAGCAGACGCCGAGGAGCGAGATCGGGTGATCCCGTTCGAATCTCTCCAGCTCAAGGCTGCGGAGACGAACTATCCAGCTCACGACACGTAATTACTTGCGATGAAGTTTGCACATGTCAAGTTCAGGGTGCGCCTGCCTGGTTCACAGCCGTTTTTAATCTACACAGATCATGCGCCACTATGTACAGCGACTCAGTCGCCTCACATCTCGCAGAGGATGGACAGGTGGCTCTCCATCTCCGCAGAATATAACTTCGAGGTAAAGTATAAGCCAGGAAAGCAGAATGCTTTGGCTGATGCGTTGTCACGCAGACCACATTATGAGCTTGCCAATGCAGCGATGGTAACGTCGTGCGAAGGGATTCGATCCGCGCCGCGAACACGGGTGATGATATGTGCGTGGCGCTGCTACGGGATCTCGGAAGCAAAAAATTTGGAATCTCGTACAAGAAGTTGTCGTCTCGAGTGCGTGCACGGTTGCACCGATACTTGTTGAATAATAAATTGCAATTTATAGCACCGATTCGACGGATACACCACAAACTGTGGTTCCTCACAATGAGGATTTGAAATACCGTATCTCTATGAGGCCCACGACACCCAACTCAGTGTTCATCTCGGTCGTGAGAAGACTTACAGCTCTACTACTGGTGGCCCAAGCTATACAATTGGACGAGCACCTATGTGCGCACGTGTGAGACGTGTCAAAGGGTGAAGCCCTCTTCGAATGCGGTGGCGCCACTAACCAGTTCCCGGTACCCTCCGGGTGTTGGGAGTCCATATGTTTGGACTTTGTGTTTGGCCTGCCAAAGGACTCGGCGAGCAACACGGGTGTCGTGGTCTTAAGAGCAAGAAGAATCATCTTACGGCGGTTCCGAATATCATTGAGGTGTCGGTACAGCGATGCTGTTTGCGGATCGTATCTTTCGACAACATGGACTTCCAGAGTCAATTGTCTCTGACAGAGACTCACGCTCCACTGGTAAGTATTGGTCAACGACCTTCGAGGTGCTGGGCACCAAGTTGACTACGTCAACAGCGGACCATCCGCAGACTGATGGTCAAACTGAGCGCGTAAATCGCGTCGTTGAAGGCGCCCTTCACAGCATATACGCTGAGATGTCGAGGAGCTGGGGCGCCATGCTGCCACTTAAAGAGTTCGCTCTGAACAATGCAGTGAATGCTCTTACCGAAGACACGCCGTCCTACGTGAATAAGATTGTTCATCCTCGCGTCTCGCTGACGCAAGATATGTTGCAATTATTTTCTGATCCATGGATCGGGGCTTGGTGGAGAAGGAATAGCTGAGTGGCTATCTGATGTCAGCCTTTTCACTGTTCTTAAAGAAGGCGATGGCTACCTGGCTACCAGACTGAGTGTCTTACGACACGGTCGCGATGCGATGGTTGAAAGCCATGACATGCAGAAAGAATATGCAGAGAAAAGAGGCAAAAGGAAAAGTGGAAACTTTGAGGTCGGAGACCTGGTTTTATTTAATGCTAAAGCCCTTCCTACACATGCAGTTTCTGCTGTCTATAAGACGAAGTTCAGTCAACGGTTTATTAAAGCTTATCAGGTCGTGAACAGTCGGGGCCTTGCGTATCCGTCAAACCTTCGAGAAGGATGCACACCCACCTGGTGTTTTATGTGGGCTTGCTTAAGCCGTATCGGATTCGGGGCAAGTGAACTAGGAAGCGTTGGCGCCGGGTCGGCGTCCACAAGCGCTCGACCGCTCAGAAGCTAGACAACTGGGTTTTAGCATGGAGTGCAACGATCGGTATCCGCGACAGCGCCACGCGCTCCACCGTCGCACAAAGTGACGCATTCGTCTGCTCGACGGTGAGGAGCCGCTCCGACAGAGCTGGCGGGAGTGTGATGGATAAATCCATATGTCGCAGGGCGACAATACGAAGGAAGCCGGCTTTACACCTTGAGTTTGGCAAGCTCGAACCAAAGATTGCACGGTCATCTTCTTGTGGCTTCGCTGTAAGCTGGACAGCGAGGAAGGTTTCCGGTGCCGCTGCACCCATCGCTCAAAGAGATCTTCATCATCTGCAGCGAATTTGCCAGGAACGAACACCACAGGAATCGCATCGCGGGTACAGGAGCGTCTCCTCTTTGAGTGAGATGTCGAGCGCTGTTCATATCCATTTGGATCTCTTGAGGTACAAAGAAGCGAGCTCGGAGAGCTTTTTGTTGGCCAAGCCCAGCGTAGTATCCGGGGGGGGACTACGTATCACCCAACCATCGAGTGATCGCGCCCTTCGCTTCAGTCGCGGGATTCGCCGATCGGACGCCGTATTCCACACGACGGTCTATGACCGGCCGTGGATGCGCGCGCATAGCCGCTCTGCCGGTAGCCTCCGGCTTCCTTCTGTGTCTCGCCGAGGGGATTGGTAATGATACCACTTTTCCCGAAGTCGAGACGTCGGGAAACGGACACGATGTCCGCAAGGTTCGAGCAGGGCTCACGTCGCGCGACTGGCGCACCTCGCACTCCTCTTCTTCACATCCTAGGAAAGGAGTATCCGACTCGTAGTCGAACTCCTCCGAACCCTCGAAAAGGTACTCCGTCGACAGCGGCGGGCGCGGTGCGCGGTGCTCCGTTACCGGGGGCGTGGGATGCGCGGTGCTCCGTTAACGGGGGCGTGGGATGCGCTTCCCTTGAAGCCGCGGATGTGCTGTCCGAAGTTGCACCGCGTGCAGGAGACGAAGAAGATCTCTGCCCGCGGGTGCTCTCAGAACAAGCGAGGCTGGGAGTCTTTCGTGTCACAGAGACAGGGCTGACTGAGCAGAGAATGCGTGAAGAAGGTCCTGGGAATGTAGAAATTTCTTAGACACGCGAGTCTCATAGGAGGTGACAGTTAAATGGGAATTGTGGGTGCTCAGGAAGAGTGTAATGGGGTTACACGTACCCTGGTATGTAGGGGTAGGTCATACAAGATGGTGTGACCACACAATGTTGTGGCTTCACCTTAACAAGAAGCCACTACATGGCGGGACTACCAGTAGCTAAAAAGTTTAATTAGGGCTTACTATTTTATTAAAAAACCTATATATTTAGATATAGGTGGCTCTGCGGCAAATAAAACAAAGAAATATAGTTTACAATTTGAGTTTTTTTGCCTTGGATTACGGTTGTGGGTACTCTTGGAATTTGCGGATTGCGATCCGCTACACTTATACTGGTTCTAGTATAGAACGTAAGGTCGGTGACCTCTACGCAATAGATTATGCGCAAATAACACGTGTTTGGTCAATCACTTATTTGGCCGACGGGGACACAAAAAATGGATGATTATTTTAAAGTTTTGTACATTAAGTTGTTTGATTCTAAAAGATCAAACTATCGCAATATGAAAGCATTGATTCTGCATATGGAATCATGCACGATTCGTTCCGACCTCATCGGACTGCAGATAGCAAATTGTTGATGCAAAATTGACTCAAAAAATTGGTCGCGTTACCAAATGATCCAGGAATCATTTGTGTGTGAATCGCACGCCGATGTCGTGGATGACACCGTTATCAGGTATCTCTCAAATAAGCAACAATCGATTCAGAGGCTACTTTTGACCGTTACAGGTCAGAACAATGTTTGACGACAGCAAAGAATGAGTAGTATTGCATTTTCAGAGGTATATGATCATGGATTGGTTTTTAACGTATACACGTCAAGGCAATTTTGAAGTCACATTTCGTCACAGCGACAACGTGGTCATTGTTTGCTGATTTTGAATCGCTTTCCGAACGTCTATCGTGAGCGGAAGCAGCCGCAGAATGGAATCAATAGGCCGATTGCATACCATACAGCCAGCTTTTTGTTGGTGTTGGCGCTTTGCACACGCATAGCAGCAGTACACGTGGAGGTATAACCCGTGAACGACACCAGCATTCCGAGAATTTGTATGACAAACCAGACACATCAGATCATCTATGTCCTTTTCCGAAGTGGTTTGATTGTCTTGTAATTGCAACTCGCCTTCATTCTGTCTTGTATCACACGCAAAGTGAGATTTAAGCTTCTTTTTGCTCTCCAAGTACAATGTTTGTCGTTTCGTACAAAGTACTGAATGTGCATTTTTCGCTTCCTCGTCATCGTCCGAAGCTTGTTTGTCATCGTTATCTCCATAAGTAACAGCACACTTATCTTTCTCTATCTGTTTCATTAATTCTTCTTCATCATCAAACCCCTCCACTTCACTGTCGTCAACAAACGCATCAAGTGTACCTTGTCGAGACTGTGAAACACGTGGAAAAAGATCACTGATTCCGTTGCGACACATTATCTTTTTCCACGCGTTGGGGATGTCGTACGTTAATCGCTTTGAATCTTCCGCGAATATCTCCACAAGACCCACCAATTTCTTAAATCGACCAAATTCCTTCTTAAAAAAATCGTTTCGATACGCATCAGCAATGCGACCATTGTCACCTGTACAGCTTTTACGTTTGGCGTCAATCAGTATGCACCAAAATTGCTTGGCATGCAGCAGCTGCCAATACGCCAGTGTGCGCTACACAAAGAATGAAGATTATGTTGAAAAAACAAGCAGTTAGCTATGCTTCGACTTTGCTAGCAACAGGGACGGCATGACAAGACGTACAGCATGACACACACTGCCCAAATTAAATGATAATGATTCTACGGGAGCTGCTTCCGTTGCTGCTTCTTTTAAACTACAAAGGAAATATTGAGAAGCGTGTTAATTTTTGAACAAATCAGCAAGTGACTTTGAGTGATGTACTAGCGCATCCAGTTCGAATTGTAAAGCTTCGTCGCGTCACAGGCGTATCCAGCAAGTTCGGCATGGTACGTGGCAAAGTGCTGGCGACGGTTACAGGCGTCGCAATCCTGATCGATAGAAACGTGACTGGAGAGAAAAAGTGAGCCATATTTTAGTGCGTCCACCAACTCATCCGGCCACGCAAGACCAGAACGCACAGTATCGCGACATGAACATAATTTTCTTTCAATCTACACGCCAACATTGCGACCATGGATTAGTGCACTACATATAGCTTCAGAGCAAAACATAACTGACTTACACAACGAATAGCTTGCTCGTACAGCTGATATTTGGCCTTGGAGCGCTTGCGACGCATCAGATTATCAAGATTCGGGTCAATAATACATTCCTCCAGATATTCCATATAAATATTAAACCACTCGTGCACTTCACGGGAGCGTCCTGCTGCCAGCACTGCTGACAGCTCTTCCGAACGATCTTCTTCTGATTCATCATCTGACGACTCGACACTGTTAGTTTCCTCCTCATCGTCCTCCATGTACTCGATCTCGTCGTCCCCACAGATGAAGTCGTCTACATCATCTCCGTTATCTTCGTATTCTTTCTCACGGTAGTCTAATTCTCCTACTCTCGGCACCGACTGTCGTCTCTTCTTTGGTGGTGAAGAGTGCTCGTCCCGATCATATCCGTCTTTACCATCTTGCAATATATCCAGAGAATTGTATTTACAAGTATGTTGCTCATTCTTTTTGTGACAGATTTGAGAGATTCGTCTAACTTTTGAGCTTGCTGTTTCCACCTCGTTGTTTACTTTTTGCTGACAGTTTTGTTGTTTACCTATCTCCTCGTCGCTGTCCTCGATCGCTAGGGGTCGATTCATGATCCCGCTGTTACTTACACTGATAGAAGAAGGTGGTGATACGATCTGGACTTCGTCTTTTTCCTCCCCCTCGTCATTTTCTACTTGCTGAAGCCGTTCATTTTGTCCACGAGTCACCGCGGCCAACATTGAGAGCTGATGCATTCTTCGATGCGGACGACGCCGCAAAGTCGTGGTACGCAGCGTCATTGGTCCTGATGAAATCATACCTTTGGTTAGCTGAAGCTGCTGCTGGCGTTGCGGTACTTTAGATGAAGAAAACGCTTTATCATTTACTACTTCCAACTCTGTTTCTCCGATTCCTTCTCCTCCATCTTCTTCGTCCCCGTCTTGGTACCACATAATGTTGGAGCGACGGCGACGTTTTCGCAAATGTGGCGTAATAATAGCCACATCGTCTTCATCTTCTTCTTCGGTCGAATCGCCATCAATTACTACCTCTTCGTGCTTCGTCATGTGTGAATTTTAGTGATACTCATAAAATACATTACCGGTATTCGAAAGGCAAAGGTTCGTGACCTGATTTTTGTGCAACAGATAAGCTCATGGTCGTTGTGTTTAATCAGATCAATTTAGAAGGGAAAAAGTGGGTATTGTTCAAAAGAACTGTGATAACAGCAAATTAAGTATTGCAAATTCAAAAAAATCTTACGCTCCGATATCTCTAGACAAGTACCTTCGGCCGCGTTGTCCTAAAGCATTGCGCATCTGCAGCAATAGCGAATACCCTTTCTTTAACGGGGTTACACGTACCCTGGTAGCAGGCTGTGTGTCACACGAGTTGTGCATGGTGTGACCACACCCAAACAAGAATACGGTACGGGGCTGGATAGCCAGTAGTTATGCATATATTTAGGTTTTACTATATACAGTATATTTAGGAAAATCTAAACTAGTTTTGGAT